CCTCCACTGGCTTCCATCCCCCACCCCCCTCTGCCAATCCCTCCACTGGCTTCCAATAGCCCAAATAATAAAATTCACAAATATTAACACTTACAAAGTCATCCACAACTCTGCCCCCCGGCTATATCTCAAACCTTGTCTCAAAGTATCACCCTAAACGTCCCCTCCGCTCCTCCCAAGACCTCCTGCCTTCCAGCTCCCTCATCAACTCCTCCCATGTTCACCTCCAGGACTTCTCTAGAGTCTCTCCCATCCTCTGGAACTCTCTACCCCAACCTATCCATCTATCTCTCACTCTGACTGCCTTTAGGCGTTCCCTGAAGACTCATCTCTTCAAGGAAGCCGATCCCACCTCAACCTAACCGCTCAACCATCACGTTCTTAAACAATTCCTCCCCACATAGCTCCCTCCTCATGTATCACTGGCCCCTCCCTCTTAGATTGTAAGCCCTCAGGGGCAGGGCTCTCCTTACCATCTTGTCTTGAATTGTATTGTGATTGTAATGTCTTCCTTATATTGTACAGGGCTGCGCACACTGTTGGCGCTATATAAGTCCTGTATAATAATAATAATTCCAGTGGTGAGATCTCCTCACCATAGTCCCCCCAGTTCTGCATGTCCCTATTCACCTTGGGGGTCTTCCCACCTACATTATATAAATAAAAGTGACGATGGGATCCACTCTTAATGGCTGCTGCGGGCCTACAGAGGGTTTCCAGTCCACAGATGGCACAACCAGAGTCTATAAAAGACTGAAGTCTTGGAAGTGGCCCTTTAATATTTAAAGTGGTAGACTGGTTGGTTGAAGGTTGACCTATTCCAAGATGTCACCACACACAATCAGCAAACAACAAATGACGAGAGCCTTCAGCACCCCGTGTTTCAGCTTTAGCACAGGAATCCAATTGTTCCTCGGGGGTCACACCGATCCCCTTCCCTACCTCAAAGGTGAACGGATAGGCGTGCTCGCCCAACTTCTTGATCAAGCGTTCCTGGAGTCGAGTCAGCGGCTTCTTCTCCTCCGGGACGGGTGGGAAGGCCTGAATGTTGGCCACGAAAAGGTCTTTGCGGAACGTCAACCCCAAAACGTCGAGATCCTCCCGGCCGTAGCGGAAGGCGCAGGTCAGAGTCACGAACACTGGAGGGAGACAACACGGCAAGGGGTTAGAGTTCTGAAATGCGCTGAACTGATGGAGAAATGGCAGCAAGTCCCAATAAGAGAGAATGACCAGCGACAAAACACAAAAGGTCTTTCACAGTTCTGAACCCAGACATGCCCGGGAGCGCGTATGAAGAAATCTAACATTTAAAATGTATCATTTGTATGAATATAAAATAAGGTGAGATACACTATACTGCCAAAAGTATTGGGGCGCCTTTACATGCACATGAACTTTCATGGCCTCCCAGTCTTAGTCCGCAGGGTTCAGTATTGGGTTGGCTCCGCCCTTTGCCGCTATAACAGCTCCGACTCTTCTGGGAAGGCGCCCACAAGATTTAGGAGTGTGTCTATGGGAATGTTGGACCATTGGTGAGGTCGGGTACTGATGTTGGGGGAGGGGCTCACAGTCTCCGCCTCTAATTCATCCCAAAGGTGTTCTATGGGGTTGAGGTCAGGACTCTGTGCGGCCAGTCACGTTCCTCCCCCCCAAACTCCCCCATCCATGTCTTTATGGACCTTGCTTTGTGCGCTGGTGTGCAGTCATGTTGGAACAGGAAGGGGCCGTCCCCAAACTCCTCCCACAAAGTTGGGAGCATGAAATTGTACAAAATGTCTTGGTGTGCTGATGCCTTAAGAGTTCCCTTCACTGGAACTAAGGGGCGGAGCCCAACCCCTGAAAAACAACCCCTCCCCCCCCATAATCCCCCCTCCACCAAACTTTACACTTGGCACAATGCAGTCAGGCAAGTACCGTTCTCCTGGCAACCGCCAAACCCAGACACGTCCATCGGATTGCCAGACAGAGAAGCGTGATTGGTCACTCCAGAGAACACGTCTCCACTTCTCTAGAGTCCAGTGGCGGCGTGCTTTACACCACGGCATCCCACGCTTTGCATTGCACTTGGTGATGTGCGGCTTGGATGCAGCTGCTCGGCCATGGAAACCCATTCCATGAAGCTCTCTACGCACTGTTGTTGCGCCAATCTGAAGGCCGCATGGAGTTTGGAGGTCTGTAGCTATTGACTCTGCAGACAGTTGGCGACTTCTGCGCACTGTGAGCTTCCGCATGCGTTGACCACGCTCTGTCATGTGACGTGGCCGACCACTTCCTGGCTGGGTTGCTGTTGTTCCCAGTTGCTTCCACTTTGTTATAATACCAGTAACAGGTGACCGTGGCGGAATATTTAGTAGCCGGGAAATGTCACGGAACACCTGAATCCAATGATGTGGTGTCCCAATACTTTTGGCAATATAGTGTATACTCAAATTACAGCCTTCATCTGAATAACCCTCTGACATCACTATATTGAAGAAACATATTGTGCCCTTAAAGGACTACCTCCAAAATATTCAATTTTAACAAGTGAAACTGGTGAAAAGAGGGCAATTTTACCAACGCGTTTCACATTTCTACACTCTACTTCTTCAGGGGACAGGGGGAGATTTAGCTACAATGTCAGTTTATGATTAGATAATATACAATGATGGTCTTTATTGAGATCTACATATGAATATTATTTCTTACACAATGATACTTCTGTGGTCGGCCATGTGGTGACCCAAAAATGGAACCAACGCACCACATAAGGAGGGGATCAGGAAAGATATACCCAAGTAGCTTTCAACTGTAAACAAGCGTCGCGTGCTAATGACTAATCGAGAAGAAGGAAGTATTAAATTACTTGTTTATATCGGTCTTTCCCAATCAGGACGCCGTGACCCCCCTGGGTGCCTTCTGGCTTTGTCAGGGGAGCCTTCAGGGGGGGTTCTAATGTGAAGGGGGGACTGTGAATATGAAGTGGATCTTGTGATGTAAAAGGGGGAACTCTGATGTGAAGGGGGGGCTGCGATGT